TTTTTTTTTTCTTTTATTTATAAAACTTTTTTTCCTCAATCTTTTCCTCCATACCGTAGGTGACGGAAACCACCAATAAATGCATTCCCAAAGAGGACTGACGTCAGGCAGGCGGCTGGTAAAACTATAAGCTAAGTCTTTTTGTAATATGGATAAAAAATATATTATGCCGACCCCAAATAATAATTTGTAGGAATATGATGATGAAGAAGATGCCTCTTACTGGTTACGCTTTAAACTCTATTTAAATAAATAACATTCTTTACGACTCTGGAACGCGCTTTCTAATTCCATTAAGAGACTACCAACTAAACCGTCTTTCAAAAAAAGCGTTCACGCTCACTTTTTATCTTTATCCGAGCAGTAAGTGCTTTATATTATTCCCAAACTTTTTTTGTATAATATATTATATATCATATATGTGTAAGTATATTTGTTATTCATATATATTTATTCGTTTATATATGTAATTTTAGTATGTATGTATATCAATAATTACTAGTACCGCATTTAAATATTTTCTGACATATGGTTGATGGGAAGAATGCATATTAGCATTAAGTCCGCCATGTACACATATTTGTACTAATGAATAAATAAATAAATAAATGCCTCTTACGACACCCACTAGGAAGGAAGAGGTAGCCAATTCTATGCCGGGAAAACAATACATATTATCGATTACATTTTTATTATACAACTTAGAATGACAAACAAGCTGACGGCCCACCTGATGGAAAGTGGTAACCGTCGCCTATAGACATGAGCAGTACCATGGACATAACAGAGTTTACTGTTTCGCCCACGATACTCCCCATGTATAGCCATTCCTGAAGACTCAGGTGTTATGCGTCTGTATCCATACTATCGAAAGATTGTTCAACATTTACATTTATATATTTTTACTTTGTATTTATAATAAGTTTACTATTGTAATCTTATGGAGGAAACAATAAAGAGTATCTATCTATCTATCTATTTACATTAGTTTAGTTGAATATTATCGATTTATTGATAAAAAAAAATATTATGAAACACTAGTTTGCATAAAATTAATCCAATTGGTGATTAAACTAATAGGTTATCAGCCAAATATAATTAGAAATTAGTAAAGCTTACCTATTGTGATATTAACGTATGGATAACAAAGTGCAGAGAAATGGAGACATTAATGACAATACATGAAAAATGCCATGGCGTCACAGTGTATTTTGTGACGCCTGTGGTGTTCTTTTACATTATTCATTAAATTTAGATACGATATAATTTCGTGTTTTTGTTTATACCAAAATCGGACCAATAAATGGAGTTTAACATTTCGTTCGTCATACATCCTATCATAAAAGTCCAAAGGAACAATATTTTAACATTTTTAATATTTCCAAACGGCATGTATTATGTAATATTAACATCAAATTTCTGTTTCCTTTGGCTTCGAAATTTCAGAAAACATTTCATGGTAGACCCTCAGGTTTTAATGGTATGAGCAGCAGCGTCCCTGTTATTACATCACCAAAGCCTAACTGCGATTACCAACCCGCCTGTTAAGCGTAACAACTTTTGTCAAAACTCCCCTTTATGTGAGAACTCTATGTTCAACAGTGGACAGCTAACAACTGATATGTTTTTTTTGTATACAATCGAGAAGGGATCTATTCCATTGGTTTTACATTTAAAATCCACGTGTGTAAAGTCGCGGGCAGTAGCTAATAATAAAAAAATAGATGCATAGAACTTGTAGTGTTATATTTTATCTATATCGTATTTGGGAATCGAGTTATGAACAAAATTAACTGACTACATTTAAGTATAGATAAATTAAACGTATACAAAAATAACTTAGCCCTAAAGTCTTAGTCATAATCCTGCACGTGCTGTCAAGGACATAACTTCACTTATAATAGAAAGCTTGAATGCAAGAGAAGCGCAAAATTAGCAGACAATCCCCGAAAAGTTTAAAAATAAAAAAATAAAAACAAAAACCAAAACTTACAAATAAAAATCGATGACTGGCTGGCAACAAAACACAAAATTAAAAGGAAAAACAACTTTTTCGACACTGGCCGTATTTATTTTGCATTAAAAAACAATAACACGGTAAAATTCGAAAATGGAATCACAAAGAACTGTGCGGTCCATGCGAAAAGACAGTCGACGACTGAATGAAGTGTGGCCATTTTGGCACAAAGCAATGTTATCGCTACTTGCTATTAGACGGCTATATCTAACTTGTTTTGCCAATCAATTATCAACTTTAAACATAAAGTGATAAGAGCTAACATTATTTCGATGCATAATTTTACAACTTTATTATAGTAAACCGAACACTATTGAGGTCAGTGACGTCTTTTTTCTTCGGACATGATAACTATGACCAATTCCGCTAAAGTGAGACAACAATATATATTGCGATGGAGTCGAAAAGGACAAACTGTAGACGGTCTACAAAGAAATTAACCAGTTGTGGTCGTTCGGTAATTATTTCCATGGACTGTTAATTAATAATAATAAATTATCCTTCTACAATGTTAAAAATATTTGCATTTTTTTATAGTTTTACTAGTTTTTACCCGCGACTTTGTTCGTGTGATTGGAATATAACAGAATGGTTTCCAGGTAGCAATATATCCTATATCGCTAATAAAGGAATCGGTAGTCCGCATTTCTAACATTCCTTCCCCCCCCCCCTGGTACAAAGGTAGCTATATCCTAATTTAACACATAGATACTATTGGGCAAAACCGCGGTATACAGCTAGTCATCAGTGGGGAGAAAGGGATTGTTAGTAATGGAGACTGAGAATCCCATTGCTAGCAATATACCCAACCAGGACGACCTCCTCGCGGTTCTCCCTGGAAACTATCATGGTTAATTCCTGATTAATTCATCATGATGGGCTAACTGGCCTGTTTTTATTCTCATCTATCACCCTTCACTGGTGCTCCGCCAGCGTATCCCGTTAGCGCAGACGGGGTTACCATACAATTTTCACCCATAAAAAAAAGCTATTCATCAGTAAAAATATTATTGTCTACATATGTTATTATATTATAACTAACGTCATTTATAAGTAATCAAATCATTTAAAGTGATTGATTGATTTTTTATTTTCTTTTTCAGTAATTTACCTTAAAATTCGCGTCATATTGATAATGCGTTGTCTACAAAAACATACTTAAATTAATTAATTATAAACAAAACAAAAATATTTATTTTTTACCAACATCAAAAAGTCAAAAAAAAAATTTCAGTTTGCTTAATTCGTGTTTCAACCGTGAAGCAGTTGTGTTTCCATGGCTGTGTTTCGGTTTGAAGGGTGGGATATGGCAGTGAATTTACTGGATACAGAGGAATAACACCTGAGTCCTCAGGAATGGCAACGCATGGGGGGGTATCATGGGCGAAACAGTATACTCTGTTATGTCCATGGTACTGCTCATGTGTATAGGCGACGGTTACCACTTTCCATCAGGTGGGCCGTCAGCTTGTTTGTTTGTCAGATGTATAAAAAAAAAATTATATTTGCTACCTCATAATTCTGTCAGTTTTAAACCAATGTGGAAAATAATTTTTCTTTTTATCTAAAAGGATACATTTACAGATATTTTTTTTTTATTGGATGAAAATGGAGTGGTAACCTCGCCTGCGTTAATGGGATATGCTGGCAGGGCACCAGTGAAGGGTGATCGATGAGGATGAAAACAGGCCAGTTAGCCCGTCATGATGAATTCATCAGGAATTAATCATGATAGTTTCCAGGGGGAACCGCGAAGAGGTCGACCTGGTTGGATATATTGTTAGCAATGGGATTCTTAGTCTCCATTACTAACAATCCCTTTTTCCCCCTTACATTTACAGATTGGTGTCATGTAAATTTTATCAAAATTTTATTAGTAATTTTTAAATACATATTTTTAAATACACAATCGGTATTTAACGCGACTAAAAAGCTTTTACAGGTAAATAGTACCTGTTAAATTTAACTATTATTTCAGTAATTTAGGTTTTAAATAAAAACAACTGGTTTTATCACAATCAAAGTCAGTTTTTTTTAACACAATCTTTTATGGTTATTTATAACGTAGTAATGCATTATATATTTGAAATAATGAAATATATTTCAGAAATAATCAAATATTTGCACGCTTTGTTTATTTTTGCCGAATTTATTTATTTATTCTTTATTGCACAATAAAATTTTGTACAAGTGGCGAGCTTAATCCCATACGGCATTCTCTACCAGCTAACCATTAGGTAAAAACAGAAAGCGTATAAAGGGCAGATGTGGTGAAAAATATGTGACATAATTATAGGAGAATGTACTCATATATTCATTGCTTCTATTTAAAAATCACCTACGTTTTTTCAAAACGTGGTATCGCGCTCTTAAGTCCAAGGTGAGACTTTACCTGCCTTTGAATATTCTACTGCTTGTATAGCGGATTGTGTTCAGAGGAATTGTTGAAAATAATGCCCACTGTTACCTTTTATCGTCACAAGCTTGATCAAGGGGAATGGGATTGTTAGTAATGGCGTCTAATTGCCCCATTACTAGCAATAAACCCTATCAGGTCGACCTCCACGTGGTTCCCCCTGGAAACCATCGTGGTTAATTCTAGTGCAATTCGTCACGATGGGCTAACTGACCTGCTTTCATCGTCACCTATCATCCCTCACTAGTGCCCCGCCAGCGTATACCATTAGCGCAGGCGGGGGGACCATTTCATTATCACCCATTAAAAAAAAATGGTGAGCTATAGCGGTTTCAGAAGATTTTTTTGGCGCAAACCCTAAAGCTATAGAATGAGCTCGCGTTTCCATAGAGAGTACAATATGGAGTTTTTCAAAAATGGTATACCTAAGGTTTCTTTAAGGTTGGCACCACGCTTGTACTACCCCCAGTGTAGCAGGTCTATAGGCTACAGTGACCGTTTACCATCAAACGGGCTGTATGCTTGTTGACCACATTTGTGGTATGAAAGAAAAATAAAAACAAAATAAAAAAAAGAAAGAAAAGTGTATTTAGTGCTTATTTCTTTTTCTTCTAATTATTAGTGGTATAGTGTTTTTTTTTACAACTTAGAATGGCAAACAAGCTGACGGCCCACCTGATGGAAAGTGGTAACCGTCGTCTATAGACATGAGCAGCACCATGGACATAACAGAGTATACTGTTCCGCCCATGATACCCCCATGCGTTGCCATTCCTGAGGGCAGCAAGTAGGGGCGGTGTAATGTTGATTTTATAGGCAAATAACCATCAGAGTTAGGGGGGAGAGGGAGTATAGTTAGTAATGCGGATTACCGGTCCCATTGCTGGAAACCATCGTGCTGAATTCTAGATGTATTCATCACGATGAACTAACTGACCTGCCTTTTCATTCTCACCTATCATCCCTTACTGGTGTCCCGCCAGCGTATACCAATAGCCCAGACGAAGTTATCATTCCACTATCATCCATTAAAAAAACCATCAGACTCACTAGATAGAGACGTATTTTGTTACAACACAGGAGGCAAACGAGCATGCGGCTCACCTGATGGTAACTGACTACCGCCGTCCATAATCCATCCACAACACCAATGGCATTGCAGGTTTGCTGCCGGCCTTTTTAAAAGGAATATCCCTTTTTCTTTAACGTTATGATGTCGTATATAAATGTTATCTGTGAGCACTTCTGTCTTATTCGTGTTTCTGCCACGACAAAACTGTTCTTGCATGGATGTGTCACGGCAAAAACACGTGTTAATGGACAATGGTAAAAGATGTACACAACTCCACAACCGCTATTCGCCACGAGTTCTTATTCTTTGAAAGATTTATGTAGTTTTAGCTGCTTTAACACCTTTATTCTTCTTGCTGTCCTCTTTTGGTTTTGATGGTGGTGAACTTGATGAATTCGGCTTTTCTGGTGGCATAAGATTAGTCGGCTGTTGATAAACGCGAGCCAGACGCGTAACTGTAACAATGAATTTAGCAAATATGTAGTAAAAGATTTTGTTAAAAAAATCACCTATCAGAGGGAGACTTTGTATAAAAGTCGTTTGCTAGGACGCCTCTGTCCCATTCGTGTTTCTACCGTGAAGTAGTTTTGTTTGCATGGCAGTGTTTCGGTTTGAAGGGTGGGATATGGCGTGAATTTACAAGGTACAGAGCAATAACACCTGAGTCCTCAGGAATGGCAACGCATGGGGGGTATCATGGGCGAAACAATAAACCCTGTTATATCCATGGTACTGCTCATGTCTATAGAGGTGACGGTTACCGCTCTCCATTAGGTGGGCCGTCATTCATTTGCCATTCTAAGTTGTATAAAAAAAACCTTTTAAGATTTACTCGTGCTTGATTCAAAAAAAGTGTGCGAAAAAAATACAATTATTTCGTCAAAAAAAAGTCTACAAAAGAAAGATACAAAAATAAAGAAAGAAATAAAGATAAAAAGAAAGTAAACGAGACAGGGAGAGAGATTTTTTTTATTACCAAATATAAAATTCACTTTACTTACATTTTACATTTTTAAATAAGTTGTTTCTGTTCTCCATATTATTTTATTTATTTTGTTTTTTTTTTTTTTATTTTATTATAATATACAGGTACAGGTAAACGATTACGTGATTATAATTAAGTGACAATAATTACTTCTTGGAAAATGTTCATAAAGGTATTTATACTAAAATTAAATCATATCATAAATAGTATATCATATCACTTAAACTGATATTTACATACATACATACATATCTGTCACGCCTCTCTCCCATTTTGGAACGTCAAACTGATTCAAACAAAGCTTCTTCCAGATTCATATACGGTCGCCGGTTAGGCTTTTAATTTGGCCCTTCTTCAATCGCCTATTTGGTCGATCTGATATTTTCACCAGTAAAGCTAGACTTTGTACAAAAGTCGTTTGCTAGGAGATTTTTAAAGTCGTTGTATAAAAAAAAAATTTCATTTCGAATTACCATCTACTATAATAGCAACAATGTAAACGCCTTAAAAAAATTTCAGAGCAATTTCCGTATTCTGTTATTTTTTTTCTGTTATTAATTCAATATATCAAAATTTAAAAAATGTAGCATTTGAAAAGTATTTTCTAATTTCTGTGCAAATATTCCGTGTCTCGGCAGTCTCGCCATTGAATGGACCAGCCTTTTCTTTCTCGTAGGTGTCGTAAGAGGCGACTAAGGGGACTTAATGATCGAAGGATTGGTAGCAGCGTCCTTCTTAAAACATCAACATAAACGCCTGCTGAGCGTGGCAAATACTGTAAAAATCCCCCCACTGACAAATTGCCGTAAGAAACAGTCTCGTTCTTTGTGACAGTCTATGGAGGATTCTATGTCCAACAGTGGACAGATAACGGTTGATATGAAGCAGTTCTTGTACGTAGCATGAAGATTTTTATGAAATAAATAATATTTATCTATTTCCTGTTGATTATGAAACAGATTTAATAAAAAATGAAATATGATTTAATTGAATTAGAGTAAAATTATTTCCTTATTTATTTTTTTACGCAACATAGAATGGCAAACAAGCTGACGGTCTACCTGATGGAAAGTGGTAACCGTCGCCTATAGACATGTGCAGTACCATGGACATAACAGAGTATACTATTACGCCCATGATACCCCCCATGCGTTGCCATTCCTGAGGACTCAGGTGTTATTCCTCTGTACCCTGTAAATTCACGCCATATCCCACCCTTCAAACCGAAACACAGCTATGCAAACACAACTGCTTCACGGTTAAAACACGGACAGAGGTACCCAAGCAATCGACTTTTGTACAAAGTCTCCCTCTGGTAACTGGTGTTTTATATTCATATTGTTTATTAACATACTATAGAATTTATTATGAATATCTAAGATTGTGCTCCCACACGTATTGTCCGATGTAGTCCGAACTTTGTCCAAGTTGCCAAGTAGCGGACTGCAGTTCCGCACCGCCGTCCAGTTATGAGGCACGACGCACGGACGCGGAATATTGTGGAAAACTTCGCCTTAACTCTACTATGGCCGTGACAATTCTTATTTATGTAAAATCTATTAATATTATAATATGGAAGACAGACTTGATATTTTTCTATCTGAATGTTAAATTTAAACGATACTTAGCCTATATTAAAAACTCTTTCTATATAAAGAGCTATATTTTCGCGGATATACATATACTTTATTATGTCTAAAAAAATCGTACAAAGTCGCAATGGGTTGCTAGTTAATATGTATATACATAATTTTTGATATATATATAATCTCAGAATATACTGCTTCCACACGTATTGTCCGATGCAGTCCGAACTTTGTCCGAGTTGCCAAGTAGCGGAATCGTAATTCCGCTACGCTGTCTAGTAAACTACAACATAATTGGGAACCTCCTTTTTTTAAGTCGGTTAAAAAAAGATTGAGAGATGGTTTCCAAGGGAGATCGTTTGGAGGTCGACCTGATGAATTAATCTTCCACTTACTAACAATTCCCTTTAAACGACGACATCAGAGAACCCATCGACGCGAGATCTACGCGCACTTGACCAATTTTTAAAACGCTTCTCCTTTTAAACTTTTCCGCCGCCCTCGGAATACTTAATTCCGATATTTTAAAATCAACCGAGCAAAGAAAACGTCCCATTTTTCACCCTTTCGTTACGTCTAATACAAATTGTCTGTTAAATTGTGTGTCTACGTGACATTTTAATATTGGGGGAATGACTAAATATTTTTAAAGCGACTGCATATAGCCGAGAGGCGAAGGTTGAGACACGTGTGTGTGTGTGTATGTTTTTTTATACTACTTTGAATGGCAAACAAGCTGACGGTCCACCCTCGGTGGGATATGGCGTGAATTTACTGGGTACAGAGGAATAACACCTGACTACTCAGGAATGGCAACGCATGGGAGGTGTTTGTAATATGTGCTGGTTCTAGTATTTAATTATATTATTATTTATATTATATTAATTGTAAATAAAATTGCCGTCTGTTGACTTGAAGTATATTATGTATTTTTTGTTCTATTTCAATTGTTTTATAAATTTTTCTTTTTTATAAACAAAACTACAAATGTCATCGTATGTAAAAAGGTTAATTTTAAACAGGGGGTATCATGGGCGAAACAGTATACTCTGTTATGTCCACGGTACTGCTCATGTCTATAGGCGACGGTTACCACTTTCCATCAGGTGGGCCGTCAGCTTGTTTTCCATTCTAAGTTGTATAAAAAAACTGCTCAACATAGGCCTCCTCTATAGACTGTCAAGATAGGAAAGAATAAGAAATGGTCCCGTTCCCTAGAACAGACCCATTTGTTATGGCAGTTTACCTTTGGTAGAATTTTACTAGTAGCCACCACGTCTGGCAAATGAATTGGCAACCGTAGTTTGAATTTTGGTGATGTCATGAGGAGCGTTACCACCATCCATCTGTCGACCATTAAGTCAAATTTTAAATAATTCGGGAAATTGTATCAATCGTTAATAAAAAAAATACATATAATAAAATCGTAACTGGTCGCTGTCTGTACATGTCCTACAGCCTCAATGGTCGCGTACTGCGCGGTTTCAGAGATGTTTCCTCCCGCGGACGCTCAGGTTGTGGAATGAGCTGCCTGCCGAGGTTTTCCCAAGAGACTACAGCATGGGGTTCTTCACAAGGGGGGTAAAGAGGTTTCTTCGGGGTCGGCTACGCACGCGTTATACCTCTGGTATTGCAGGTGTTCATAGGCTACGGTAACCACTTACCATCAGGTGGGCCGTATGTTTGTTTGCCACCTCAGTGGTATAAAAAAAAAGATGTATAAGAAAAACTACTATAGGGAGCCTTTATGAACGCAATAGTACCCACAACAATGATTTTTAGAATTTTTGTCTGTTTGTCTGTACGTTTGTGCACGCTAATCTCAGAAACAGTTTAACCTATTTGAATGCAGTTTTCACTAATACGTTGCGGTTTGCTCCACTTAACATTGAGTGTTTAGTTTACTTCAATCGATTCATAAATAAAAAAAAATGGAGGGATAGGGATTGTTAGTAATGGAGACTGAGAATCCCATTGCTAGCAATATACCCAACCAGGTCGACCTCCTCGCGGTTCCCCCTGGAAACTATCATGGTTAATTCCTGATGAATTCATCATGATGGGCTAACTGGCCTGTTTTCATTCTCATCTATCACCCTTCGCTGGTGCTCCGCCAGCGTATCCCGTTAGCGCAGGCGGGGTAACTGTTACCATACCATTTATACCCATAAAAAAAAAAAACATCAATCTAAAGAATCACATATACAATGCTACATAATAACCGATCAGTTAAATTGGCTGAAACATTTTTTTTTATTATAAGTATTGATTTTCGAAAATTCTGTCTGCACGTGCAAAGCCGGATCGGATCGCTAGTCAAATAATTAAATATTATTTTAATAGTTAGACGGATATAAGAAATAAAAACAAAAAAGACTAAGTATGTAAACTAAGAAATAACCAAACTAACTTGAAAAATGACTTAAAATAAAATTCATCAAGCAAGAACAGAGGACTCATTGATAACCCTCAAATCGCTGCCGGTACACCGGACCAATTTATTTTTATTCGCAAAGTTAGCGCAAAGTTCAGAATTTTACATAAAAAATGATCGGTTCCGCCGTCCCCCCTTGTTGCTTGTTCTAATTCAGTTCACGCTTGTCCGTTTGCACTGCAGTGTTATTTTTTTTTTCAATCAACACCTACAATTACCGGTTCGACGCTTCAATACGGAGGGTTCCGTGGTTTTACAAGATTTTTTTTTAATGGATGATTAATGGAGTGGTAACCCCGCCTGCGCTATCGGTATACGCTGGCGGGGCACCAGTGAGGAGTGATAGGTGAATAATGATAAAAGATAGGTCAGTCAGCCTATCGTGATGAATACACATGGAACTCAGCACGATAGTCTCCAGGGGGAACCGCGTGGAGGTCGACCTGACAGGCTATATTGCTAGCAATGGGACTGGTAGCCCGCATTACTAACGATCCCTTCCCCCCAAGGTTTTACAAGATTTTAATTTCACAGCGAGGTGTCGTTTGGAAAAATAATATTAATAAAGACGGTATAATTAATTAGTTTTCTGGTATAATTAAATGTCCGTGTGGTCCCGGCATAGAATGAGCCATCCCTTGCTTTTCTATGGGTGTCGTAAGAGGCGACTAAAAGAACTTAATGGTAGAATGATGAGCAGCAGGGTCCCTCTTAAAATATCGTTAAAGGCCTAACTACGGTTACCAAACCACCTGCCAAGCGTGGCAACTACTGGCAAAACTCGCCTTATGGGGAAGGCTTCTGTTCAGCAGTGGACAGTAAACGGCTGAAATGACGATGACTCCAAAGCCTGAGTAACATTAAAATAATGGTCATAACCCCGGCATAGAAAAGAACACCCCTTCCTTTCCCGTGAATGTCATAAGAGGTGATTAAAGGAGGGCGAGGGATGGGCAGCAGCGTCACTTTTAAAACATCTCCAAAGTATAACTGCGGTTGCCAATCCGCCTGCCAAGCATGGCAACTACTGGAAAAACCTCCCAAAGGGGGTGGCTTATGTTCATCAGTGGACAGGTAAAGGCTGATACGATGATAATGATCAAAATGTAATGTATAATTTTGAATTAGTCAGAATTTTGTTGTATGTATTACATATTACATTAAATTTTGTATCCCATCCATCACCCAAAAAA